GTCTAAATTGCACCCCCAATTTTGATCCTCTAATTAAATGAAGAATTAAAAAGTTGTCGAGCGATTTTCCAAGAGGAAATAAAAAATGTTCCGTGAAGTGAATTGCTTAGAATTGGCCACGTGCTCGACACCAAAACGTCACACCGCATCGTGATAGTTCGTTTCCTCGCGATTCGCAGTCGCAATTAGAACGAATTCGGCCTGGAAAGGCGAGTTTAATTCGGCGGAATTAGGAGCACGGAACCAGCTTCTTTTCCCGGCACGGGAAACTCCGGAAATTTCGAGAGTTCGTCTCGACGTCTTGAGGAGAGAAACGGAAAAAAGGGACGGACGGGCGGAAACGGGGAGTCGAAAGAAAAAGGAAAGGGAACGAGACAAACGTCGAACTTCTAAAGAATCGACGGAAAGGAGAGTCGTTCGGAGAATAGCTAAAGCCGACCTTCTACGCGTTTGGGAATTCCAAGATCGAGGGAATTCGCATAATCCTTTCGCGAAGTGGCTCGGGAATGACTGTGGGAGTACAAGGGAAGCTGAGCCAGCAAAAACATTTTCACTTTCATTGAAATGAGCCTTTGGTGAAGCTGTTGCGCATCCGATGGTCAGTCTTGAATCGGAGTCGAATGCAATTTCATGACAGAAAAGTATTCTCGAATGACACTTGTGATACATCAAATTAAAGCTTGAAGGTTACTGAAAATGACTATGTAAAAGCGCCATTAATATTCTTGATACAAACTGAATGGCTGCCGGTTGTGTTTGATAATAACATTATATTGTATGAAATTTTCGATTTCAAAACATATAAAGTCTACAACAAAATCATGACAGAAAAGTATCTTCAAATGACACTTGTGATACATCAAATTAAAGCTTAAAGGTTGCTGAAAATGACTATGTAAAAGCACCATTGATATTCTCAACGCAAAATGAATGGCCGCCGATTGTATTTGATAATAACATTATACTGTAAGAAATGTTCGATTTCAAAACGTATAAAGTCTACAACAAAATCATGACAGAAAAGTATCTTCAAATGACACTTGTGATACATCAAATTAAAGCTTAAAGGTTGCTGAAAATGACTATGTAAAAGCACCATTGATATTCTCAACGCAAAATGAATGGCCGCCGATTGTATTTGATAATAACATTATACTGTAAGAAATGTTCGATTTCAAAACGTATAAAGTCTACAACAAAATCATGACAGAAAAGTATCTTCAAATGACACTTGTGATACATCAAAGTAAAGCTTGAATCTTATTGAAAATGACTATATGAAAGCACCATTGATATTCTCAATACAAAATACTTGATCATAGGTTGTATTTGATAATAATATCCTACTATTTAAAATATTCGATTTTAAAACATATAAAGTCTGAAGCAAAATCATGACAGAAAAGTATTCTCAAATAACACTTGTGATACATCAATCTAAAGCTTAAACCTTCACAAAAGTGACTATGTAAGTGCACCATCAATATTCTGCATCTAAAGCTACTAATTACCAATCGTGATGAACTATGACGTTACATGACAAATATACCATCTCGAAACGTATAAAGTCGAAGACAATTTCATGACAGAAAAATACCACGAAATATCACTTGTGATACATCAATTTAAAGCTAAAGACTGTCCAAAAATAGCCATACCAGTGCCCCATCAATATTTCTAATGAAGCAGAAATTATAGGAATTAAAGATCACAAGCAAAATCACCAAGATAATAATGTTACCTTTTATCTGGCCTCTCCATAGAAATTGCTTACTGTAACACGGAACGTAAAACCTAACCGTTGAAACATCATAAATACGTGAACCAGATGTCCAGCAGTAATTTCGAGAATGAACAGCGGAAAACGTCAAGGATAATCCTGTTAGAACGCGGACAGGTGGTCAGTTAGCAAAGTCCTTCATGCTTCGCAGGTATATGTGTTGACCGAACGAGACTCCAAATTTCAGCACGTTGACCGGCTCGAATTCCGTGCAGTTCGAATAATTAGTAACAGAAAATGGAAGAGAATTCCGTGATAAATGAAGCTCCTTTGCTTTTGATAGTCTTCAATTTCATTATCTCCGAACGTAAAGGAACATTGAAATTCCAATTAGATCGAGGAGAATTTACAGTGTTCTTCCGGCCATTCAATAGCAATCGACGTACTATAAAACCGCAAGAAAACCAGATTTCAAAGGAGCACTATGGGATTGCGGGCCAGTTTCCCAAGTTAGGAACGTGAGCAACATCCCCGGCGTTGCATATCTGCATACCCTATGAAGCTGGTTCGCGTAGAGCACATACAAAATTCAGAATACCGTCCAAAAAATACGTACTTCTATCTAGGACCCCTCAGAAAATAGCTTCAGATCCGCGCTCGACCACGAAATGCAACTTTCGGAGTGTTGTACTTCGAAACTACTCGAATTTCGGTTTGAAAGTTGCAACTTCAGAATTTGGAAGTCGATGCAAATATTATTGAAACTTCGACAATTTTTCAACTACCCTCGAAATTTTGGAGTAAGTTCGAGTAATAAAATGTAATGAAGCTTTCAGGAGTGTAATCGAATAAGAAGATATGAATGATAATCAAATTTTCACGTTTCATTGAAACTTCGAGTAAGACAGAAGTACGCGCGCGCGATCGATGGACTTAAAAATAAAATTTGCCCGATGAAATCGCGGTAACGAAGTGAAAAGGACATCGTGGAAGTTTTATACGGCACGGAATACTACAATAATTAATTTACACAAGTTCTTTGACGTTTCTATAGGCGGCATTGTGATTAAGGGGAAACTCGGACCGAGTATAAGAGAATGTAAATGATAGAAGCTGCAAGTCCATTATGAAGCCGGTAGTGGCGTTGTAAAATTGTTCGAGCAACTTTTGTGAATGGCAGTTAATTATAATTAATTCCATATTGTCTGCTAGACAGTTCGTGCTGATTCTTTGTCCGCGAAGTATCATTCAAATGGTGCCTGCAAAGTTCCACTTATTGTTGGAGATTGATATGAATACGAAATCACTCGAAATATTATACATGTCGGGTAGCTTTTCGCAGTTGTTTCGCGTACTTTTCATTACATATTATTCTACTGGAATATTATTGGAAATTCATCTGCTTGAACCTTCACTTGAATTCATGAATTTATAGCAGATTATTGCGTATGAAATTATATAATGCAATTTCATGAGAGAAAAGCATTGAAATATACTTATGGTACATCAATTTGAAGCTTAAAATTTAACGAAAGTAATTGCATAAGCACATTATTGATAGTCTTAATACATAGTAGTTGCATCGAACAATACAACTGCAAGCATTCAGATATGAAACGTAAAAAGTCTAACTAAAATTCATGACAGAAAAGTATTTCAAAATGGCACTTATGAAACATCAGTTTAAAGCTTAAGACTTCACAAAAATTACTGTATAAATGCACCATTGATATTCTTTGTAGAAAACGATTGTCTATCGATTGTAGTGGACAAGCGTGTAATACTATGTCAAACAGCTGCCTTCAAAACGTAAAAAGTCTAATGAAAATTCATGACAGAAAACTATCACCAAATGTCACTTACAATACATCAAATTAAAGCTTAAAATCTATTAAAAACAACTGTATAAATGCCTCATGAATATTCTTTATAGAAACTGATAGATTCGAACAGTATACGAATTTCGTGAATATGTATTTCTTAATTGCAAGAGAAATTTAATTCAGATAAATAGAAAATTCCTTCGCCGGTTGAAAAGAGCAACATACGAGGAGCAATCTTGGGTTGGAATTAGTTGAATATAATTGGCGTGAAATTTTAACTCGAATACGTCAGAGAATGCAAGATGAACCGTAGTCGGGTACCATTCAGAAGCGTATTATCAGTTCGTTCTCGACTCATAGGAAACCACAATTTCCACGGATTACCCGGACGAAAACTGACTCTCGCGACTGTACGGCATCGGCCAGGCTGGTGGAATTCGTGGGTCGTGGGTTATGCCGCATTCGGTGGTATGTAGTAATTAGCAACATTGCTCCGAGAAGCCAAAGGTGGAAGGAGGACGAGCTGCAGAATCGAGGTATCGCCAGCACGGATTTCATTCGAAGGAATAGAAGCTGCGACCGTGGCGCATTAACTCCGAAATTGCCGCTACTGTACAATCTATCAATTTGTCCCAACGAGAACCACCTCACGTTCTATAGATCACCGTGCAAAGACACTACCTATTCGAAAAGAGCGTAACTTCGAAATAAAATACAACAAAATTTGAAATATTGTCAGAATTTTTGTCTCTCACAGGACTGCTTCTTAATGAAGTTTCAAACACCTGTAGCTGAATTATCGCTGTAGTTTACTGTCTGGGGGACAAGAAACCACGCTGAATGCAAGAGGATGAAATAATTAGAAGTTCAGGAGCAGCAGCATTTTTTTGCTATCAATTTCCGTTTGTTCGACAAAACTGCAGGAACAACTGACGCTGGAAACTTCGTGGGTCGTTATGGAACAGCTTAAAATGCAGATGCACGTGTAACGATTGCAAGTGGAAACATAGAAGAAGAGCAAAGACGAAAATTAGTTTGCTGTACGGAGATCTGAAAGTAATTAGTGGAACTCTAGCGAGCACGTTTAAATAATCATTGTAACATTGGGAAGTATATTGCGTTATCCGAAGCTTTCGTAATTCATTCGTTTCTCGATAACATTCAGCAATATCTAATAACCGTACAGAATGTTTACAAGTAACATTTTTTAATACAACGTAAATAGTAAAATATTAAAATAGTAAAATAGTGAAATAATAAAATAGTAAAATAGTCTATAAACACCTATTTGCCTAAATAAAATAATAAAGTAATATATAGTTGCATTTACAACCTAATCTAACCTAGCCTAACAAAACCCAACCTAATGTAACACTACCAAAATCGAATGGTAATACGCGACTCAACACATACTACGTGTAGTAACAATTATCAGAAGATGAATGGTAATGCAGAGCATATTAACGCATGCGTAGTACACGTGGTCACAATCGTATGTTAGTAATGCTTCATTCACCGTTCGTTGAACGTAGGCTAGTTTCTGTGGAATATTCCAAAAAGAGAAAGATACGAATATCAGAAATTAAAAGGAAGGAGAGCACGTGGTAAACGAGAGTCTTAATTCCGTTACGTAAGTGAAACTTTGAAATGACGAAATTCCGTCATTTCCTACCCATTTGCAGGCTTCACATCGTATGAACAGCTGATTCTGATCTATAGTCCAGATACAATAGCACACTCGAATTGTAAGATCATGTCTCAAAGATCAGGTTCGATAGATATACAAGATCTGCAGGATATATGGACACCCTTTGGTGAACAATTGAGAGGAATTTATAAAAGGTAAAGATATTTTGTTAGACATGCTTAACCTAAAAGTTGCTAATGATTTATAAAAAAACATAATATTTCAGTATCATTGTGCTGAATATTTTAGTAACGAGCAGATTGTATTGATTTGGAGAGTAATTATATATTAATTTTCTTTAAATTCTTTTTATGAAAGTTAGTGGTTTATTTATGTTTATTTATTCATACTCTTAATATATTTTGCAGGTCCTTTGCTTATATAACAATTAAGGATAGGTTGCCTGTAATTTTAACTAAAATAATTGATACACTAAGTCGTAACAAGGAAAGCATTGCACAAAAGTATGGAGAGGTAAAACATATATTTATACATGTATCAGTTACTGATAAATATTTATTAATGTTTAGAAATCTATAATTATTTAGAATGCTACAGAAGAAATTAAACAAATAGTAGGATTTATTAGTAAATTGAAGAATCAAATTACTACGAACAAAACTTTGAAACCTCTACGGTTACTAACAAATGGGGAAGATAATGATGCTGAGGAATGGAATAAATATCTTTTAAAAAGAACTGAAATTGAAAATGGTACACCAGTATGGTTTAATACCATTTGGTTGTACTGTGAATGTTATATGTATCGAACCATTGCACAAGAATTTCTTCTCACGTAAGTTTGAAAACCTCTTTAATGATCAGTAATCTGTAAAATTATTTCATAATAAATGCTTCATTTTCAGAAAATATTTGCGTAATTATGATTATTTTGAGCAACAAAAGCAAAGTGCATTTATAAATTCAATGATTAGTATTTCATCACTTGCTGAATATTTAATAAATCTTGTACATAAAGCAGATTCTTTATCAATAGTTGAAACTAAAGAGGAAATTTTCCAACTTCTCAGACTAAATCTCTGGGGCAACAAGTATGCCAAGTTCTTGTTTTTTGTAATTCATTAGTTAGTTCTTTGTTTTGTTTTGTTTTTAGGAAACTAACTAATGACCTATAATCATCTTTTTATAGATGTGATTTATCTCTAAGTGCAGGTGCTGATGTTAATCAAACCTGTAATCCTATAGCAGTATTGAAATCATTGGATGAAAACATACTTGTAGATAATTCAGAATCCATTTGGAATTTGCTAACAAAAAAGGAAACTAATGAATCTACTATTATAGATGTGGTACTTGACAATGCAGGCTATGAACTTTTTACTGATTTATGTTTATCTGTATTTTTGATTGCCGGTAAATTTGCTGGAAAAATAAGATTTTATGTAAAACGTTATCCATGGTATATCAGTGATGCAACAACAAATGACTTTTACTGGACGTTGGATTACATGAAAAATTCGTCAAATAAAAACCTGCAACAATTATCTAACTTGGCGTATGATTACTTGAAGAATAAATTATGGACCATTGAGGTATATCTCTTTTTTTCCTCTATGTAAGTTTTACAAAATTAACCACAACCTGAACTATATTTTTAGGAGGAATCATTTTGGACAAGCCCTTATGACTTTGCAGACATGAAAGAACATGATCCAGTATTGTATGCAAAATTGTCTGAAGCTAAAATAGCAATATTTAAGGGCGATTTAAATTATAGAAAATTAGTAGGCGAAATAAATTGGGAGTACACAACAGAATTTACTGAAGCATTAAGAGGTTTTCAGCCAACAACTATTTTAAGTTTTAGAACAGTAAAATCAGATGTTTGCGTCGGTTTACCACGTGGCGTAGCCGAAGAATTATTTAAAAAAGACGAAAGTTGGATGTTCTCAGGAGATTATGGGCTTATTCAAACAACCATAGCTGGGACGTGTCCTTGTGATAGAGTATGTTAAAATTCTATGAATTAAGAAATATTAAAAATACTGAATTGATCAATGTACAAAATTACCTGTACATACATAGTCTAATATTTTGTAGATACAATCATATTTGAATTGTTTACATTTCAACTGTCTTAATTGTTCAAATACTTATATGTACAGAGTGTGTGTAAGGATTTGTATTTGAATTACATGTCATGTCATATCATTACATGGCATGTAATTCAAAGTGTGAAAGTAATCATGAAAAGTTGCTTTTATATTTAAGAGTTTGGTGATATTTTTTTTAATATTTCTTACAAATTTCTATGTATATACATTTTGTATTTTTGAACAATAGTATATGTGGTATCTTCATACTGTAAACTATTCTTCCAAAATATATAATTTAAATATATGCATATACATATACAATACTGTACAAAGATATACAAGAATGTGAAATAAAATTTTACAAGTTCTATGCTAAAAATATATCTCATTTAGATCACATCTCATAAACTAGCAAATACTTTTAATTATTCTGCTTTTATTTTATATTGTTTTGTACATAAGAAATGTAATAATAACAATTTAAATCATAACTAATATTTTTGAAATATACAACCATGTTTATCATGTATTTTATGTTTTATTATAAGTATGATATTCTTATAAATGATGTTTAGTAATTGTAGATTATAGTTTAAGTTTACCATTTATATGATAAAATGCAACTCATATTATGACTTTATGCTGACACATATTTTTAATTCATCTACATTCATCAGATCAGAATGTGAATTACGAATGCATGTTCTCAAATTTTGATGCTGTTAATCTTATCTTAATATACGATTTCATGAGTTCAAAACTTAAAATATATATTTTAAAAGATCCATAAGTGAATCAAAAACGAATTGGAAATACTTAGTTATTCTAAATTGTAATGTTTTTAAAACCATAATACAAGATCTAAATGTAAGTATCTAGCACCATCCTAAAAACTTCTACAAATTCTACCAAGTGGCAGTAGAGCTTTTAATATCTTAAAAAATCAATTTAATTAGCATCCATATGATGCAAAATTTTGATAAATAAAACAAATTCTCATTGGTAGAAACATTTTTTTTAATCATTAGTATTCTTACAATAAGTGTTAAATGTGCTCATTACTTATGAGACATGCTTGTCCAGCAAGCTCCCTATTATAATAATTTCAGTTACTGTTGTAAGCAAATTTAGAGCTATATAGAACTACAGTTAGTAACTATTTGTTGCATTATAAGGAATTTAACAGTTCTTAATTTTAATATTTCTTTATGGTAACATATTCTATGTATAATCTTGTAATACTAAGGCAGCAATATTAAGGGACTTTGGAACATCTATTTCTTTATCAGTTGTTTATTATTTTGAAGAAATATATATAAACAGAAAGAATTTTACTGTTCTATAATACATAATTATTTAAACACAAAATAATTTTGTATATTGTACAAACTTATCTATAGAATTCTTCGATATTATTATATGTTAATTAAAGTATCTTTACATTAGTTTGCATAAAAATTCAATGATTACAGGATGTTTCAAGAAATATTAATCATATAAAAATTGGTCTGAAACTTTTTGATCCTTTTTAATCAATATACATTAATGCCACTTATTTATAGTTAATATAAACTGTATATTAAAATCAATATGATTAAAATAACAATGAAAAATAGTTATACATCTTTTGTTAGATGAGTTACAGTAACTTCACAAATTATGATTGTGAATTGTTTCAAAATGCCTTGTTAAATAAATATTGCGTAATATTTTAAGATTTTAATTTAATACCTATTACAGTGCTTAAAAATAAAAAAAAAATATTTCTTGATCACCCTATACATACTCATAAAATTTTTGTAAGATGATGGTGTGTATATATATTATTGATATTTACTTACATTTTTCCATCGTATTCAAAAAGTAACGACATATTCTCGAAATTTCCAAGTCCATTTTAAATGTCATCCGTTTTTGCTGTTCTCACAAACTGATTTCACTAATTATAAGAAATCTCCACTTTGCACTTTTTCTACTTACATATCACATTGTACAATGTTAATGATAGCAACATATACACGATAAGTTAGTAACAAAATGTATCGAAAATGTGTCTACGCACGTATTACTTAAAAATTGTTCAAATTCGAACTATTTCCGCGGAACGTTTAGTCAAGGATCACGACGATACATCAAGATAGTTTTTAAACGCGTGATACGAATGACGTTCATAAAGTAATCATATTTCTGACATTTGAGTACTTTACTGCCACCTAGAGAAGCTATAATAAACTGTTGTTTTTACTTTTAAATCAAGTTTTTCTTTTTTGGAAGTGAATCTAGCACATCCATTTTCATGTAAAGAGAAGACCTAAAAGAATCGTAAAAATCGATCTCACGAATGTGCAAAGGATTACTTTCATCGCTTTATCAATCAGATAACTAGCGGAAATGTGGCACTTAATTCAGCATTAAATGTCCGGCCACGTAAATACTGTGTCTATAAACATATTTGCAGTCCATGTGCAGACACGATAAACATGGAGAAAATATGGGACAAAATTCAGCACAGTGCAATCGTTTCGTTTCTGAGCTGACATGGCACTACCCCCATGCGCAAAGTACTCATTCACACTTTAAATTCTGTTGTTCGTTTTTTTTGCTTTTTGAAGTATTTAAATATGAACATTCATAATTCAGCCGTCAAATGTATTAAATAACAATAATGGAAATAGCTAACATTCTAAACCTGCTTTACACAGTCGAGCTCAAGATATTTGGTCTGAATCGTATGATCGATAACAATGATCGTAACTATCCCATTTCAGATTGCAACTATTCCGACTGTAACTAAAAGTCATGCAAAATTGATAGTCCCAAGTATTCACGCTAGTACCCGGTATTTGCTTTATACACTCTGTAGTTTGTGAAAAAGCTGTTACTTAGTAAATGCAGCAAATACGGCCCAGAGAACTGGATTAGCATTAGGTTTAGCGGCTTCTGCTTCAAAGTCCAAGTCTAATAATGTCCGCACTCTTCGCATTGCTACTTCATAATCGTCATCAGACAGTGGTGCAAATGCATTTTCTAATACATCAGCTGCATGAGCTAGGATAACTAAGGCCAATGTTCGCCTGTCCATACGACCAGCATCATTGACCCAACGACTTAGCACAGCTTCTTGAATCTGCAAATTATAAAAAATAAAACATGAAATGATAAAATCTGAAATTTCATAAGAAACATAAAAACAGGAGGTAACAATCTAATCATACTTTCTACGTAATTTTATATGTACATGCCTACAATCATAAAATGAGATAAGATATTGCAGCAATTAAAAACCAATGCCCAAACACAATATGTACTATATTAACACACAGAATATTTACCTTTTTTACAAGTCGACTTTTGGCAAGGTTGTCAGTAAGAGGATGTGTCGTCATATCAAACAATAGGAAGTTCTGCTTTTCAGTTGTTAAAACACCCTTCTCCACAAGATTCTTGGCTAATCTTTCCCTAACATTTTTTAACTGGTATCTTAATTTTAATGGATTCCATGTTTCCCCTAAATCAATTTAAACCAATAATAAACAAAACATACAAATATATGTTCCAGATACATAAACAAAAACTAACCACTGAGATATTCGATCCAACTAGGAACAGTTTCTGGTGGATCAGTTTCTTTTAAATGTTTCAAAGCTTCGTCTAACAATACGTCACCGGTAGGAGCATCATTCTTCAGCAGTAGTTTTCTCACAAGCAAGCCCTTCTTGCGCATACCAGCCTTCTCCAGCTCTACTCGTCCACGAAATCCCAGTTCTGCCAAAATACAACCACGTAAACCAGAACTTATGCAGTCGTTCCAAAAGGATGTGTAACCCTGTAAAGCAACGCACGCTTCAAAAATAAAAGACAGACTGATGTATACTAGAAGAGCAAACATCAAGGCAACTTGGACAAACCTCTTTATCCTTCAGACCAAGCAGTAAAACCTCTTCCATAAGTGTTAATCTGGTTTCCTTGTCAGAATCGTCGTCGATAGTGGGGTTCGAATTAAGATCTTTCTGCATGCAAGAGTCCGTGTCCGTGCCATGGCCAGACAATTTATCATTGTGGCCAACATCGTTGGAGCCATCCTGGCCTAGACCGCTGCCACTACTGCTGTTAACCACGCGTCGACGTTGTACTAATCCGTCAGTGCGATTCATCATTCGACGAAGCTACGCTTCTGTTGCAATTATAACCGCGTGTCAAATGCGCCACCGTGTCGTCTAATAACTAGGCGTGTTAGTCGGCCGTAGTTAAAGCAAGCCAGCGACATGTATCGAGCAGTACACACTATACTGTTGACGTTTTGACCGATACAACATATCTTTCCAAGATGGCCAAATCCCTACGGCACGTCGTTATTTTGTTTCACGAGCGTTGTCTGCGTTTATTCCTTGACGTGTAACGATGAACAGGTCCGAATACGTTGTATACACCAGTATTGTTCCGAAAGTAGTTCGTTGTTTCGGCGATACACTTACTTTGGCGCTAATGTTTTCGGCAAGAAATCTATCGCAATTCAATCGAGAATCTCTCGACACTTATCGAGCCTGGAACGCGGATCGCGTACCATGCGTTGAAAATTGCTTAGAACGTTCACTCAGCCCAGAAAGAGAGTTGTTCGCTCTGCTCGTACATTTTCCTGCGATCGTTGCGCCAACCTTCCTGCCAATTTCGCGCGAACGTTTCAAACGTCACGTATAGCTGGCATTTTTAACGCCTTGACTGGCACGGGAGTCAACGATGACCGTCAGCACGAATTTAATGTAATGATTAATATGCAAGGTAGCAAGTGAAGAGCCAACGTCTCCTGCCAGGGGAGAGTCTCTCCCCTGCTTTGAGATTTAAATTGTTGCGTGTAATTGTTATTCCGTTTAGATTCCCTGTTCCTATTATTTTATCTAACGATTGTTATCAAAATTCTATGCAGACATTTATGCATTTATGATGTATACGAAAGATACTTTAGAAATTCCTAAACGTTCATGGGTCAAAAATAGAATGTACTCGTACTGATTTTTAAGTGAATCGATAATTTCTGATTATTTGTACTGATTTTTTAATAATTTACTGAGCAATCATTTTTTATAAAACTGTTGCTGAATTTTGTAGTAATTTATGTTATTATATTTAGGTTATAATGTGCAACCTCTCAGGACCCACACTTTGGGAATCTCTGTTCTAAAGTGTACGTACAATGAACAAGCATGCAATTACGTGACGCACAGCGTTCAAAGACTGCTCCATTTCGCAGAACATTTCTGTACTGTAATGGATTTAATAAAACGATTCCGTTGCGATATTTGTCAAATAACGGAATAACGTAACCCGGATATGAGATTGGTATCTTTTGGCATTGTAATCAATGCAGCCGGCATGAATGCTCTGCCGAGCCATTAACATTCGCGTCTCTATCGCTTAATTGTCTGTAAACAGAAAGAATTCACGCGATACAGGATACAGATATTTGAATGGAAGGCTTTTCCACGTCGTCATTAGAAATTCTAATCGGAAACTATGTTATAATACCATTCTTACTTGTCGTGCACAGCGCATAACGTAAACCAAAATCACTCAATACTGTTGACAGCAGAAACGTATTGTCGGTAGCATAGTTGGACCGATAGTATTCTGGTTAAGTGATAACATGCGAAATGATAACATTAGACGGTAGTTTTATCACGATGGTTTTCACATCGTGCACAAACATGGCGAAGATTTCAAGAAGGAGGGCACATCTTGCAAATTCGCGCATGGAGCCAGAGTAACGATCGATTTTTATTGCTCGTGAACAATGGGGCGAAACGAAAATTATAGTCCGTACACGAGGGAATTTGCCTGGTCGCCGTTTCACGACGAAACATTAACTTTTACAGTTAAACCACGCACGTGTCCTCGAAAGTAGCAATAAAGCGATACCGTGCACTCGTATGTTCAAAGTGTAAAATCCATCAGTCTTTGTTTGGCGTTCGAGGAGAGAGGAGATTGTTTCTTGTTTTTTTGTCACCACTTTCGCAATCTTAACGAGGGTTAGGCATTCTCCTTAAAAATTTATTCCTTTATTTGTACACGATTAACGCGGCAATTTGCTTTTTACTGTGGGTAGAAATATTTTGCAAGGATATTGCCAGCTTTGTCAGAAAAATACAAGAACCAAATTGCTGACTAATTTGAGAAAGGTTGCTCTACATAATCGTCAGAATTAATTAATTTTCCTGGGAAATAGGATTTGTTTATATATTTTAAATGCTGTATAACGTTCAGTTTTACAATGGGTCTATTTTAGAAGATGAGAATTTTCATTAAGGTGAATCTAAACTTCCGCGTTTCTAAAAAGTTTCAGGGTCCGGGGCCACATCCTATGACAGAAACTTGTATTGCACGTTAGGTCTATTCTACATCCCGTGCGATTTCAACGAGGTGAGGATAGTCACTGTTTTATCGGGGTCACTGACATCATGGCCGATCGTTGCGTACACCGATATTGAGCTTAATGACCGTTTCCCGGCGTTCAATGTCAACTGTTCAATGTCGGTGGCCACATTTGCATGAACCACACGAGCGAGAAAGCTGCGACTACCACGTCGTGAAAATCTTTATACACCTACATATATAACGTACATACTGTTGTTTTTTATAGAATTATCTTCATAATATGAATTATGAAACTTTTTTCTGTGCACTCTTATGTTAAAACGATGCAGAGCGTTAATCATTGTCGTATGTTAGGTATGTTCAAATGTCAAACATTTTTTCTCACGCGCCTTTCTCTTCGCAAGTATTAGACAATTCCCCTTTCCCATTCAATGTCAATTCCACGCCTAATACGATGCATAACTTACAACAGCAACGGAGTATAAATAGAGAAAAGAACGAAGACATTCTAGATCACCACACTCACCATTGGAAATGACATTGGTTGCGGAGTATCTCTTACAGTAGATCAAGTCAATTTTCATGTGCTGTTAATGTGGAATTAATTACGTTTGCTAATATCTTATGTTACTTTGTATTACCTACCATTTGGAGGATCGATAAGTTGTGCAAAAATCAAATTAATTTATCTGAAGATCAAAAAATTCCTGTGTATGCAAATTTTCACCATCTTTCCTCAATTTCTAAATTTTAAAACTTGCAAATTTTGAAATTCTCATATGGTCCATCACCAAACTTAAATCCTCAAATCTCTAAACACCTGTCTCCAAATTCTTAACCTTCTAATTTCCCAAATTTCCAATTATCCAACATTCCAAACCTCCAAACTACCGATTCTAACTCCAAATTCCTAAGCTAGAGAATGAGATCCTCAGCATCGGTGCCCGCAGCGTGTACCGTTGCCCTTGAGCTCTCTAACGAGCGTTGGATCAGTCCATCAGCGATCTGCAGCAATCCATCGAACCGATTATTGTCTCGAGATTAGCCAGCCGCAAAAACAGATTGTCCCTGTAGAATTTCTATTTGCACGGAGTAAAAGAAAAAAATGGCGGGACGCGGATCGTGGAGAGGGAGAGAAAGAGAAGGTCGGAATCGAGGCTGTCGGTGAAGGCACAACGAGAGGCACGTTCAGTCGTCCGGACCCGCTCGGTCGGTCTAAAACAGTATCGGGTACCTGATCCGTATTCCTCGTGGCTCTGTCAGGTCTTCAGTCGTGATAATTCTCGTCCTATTTGTGCGTTAATACGAGAGAACTCGTACGACGGATACAAGGATACGTCGCGACGTACAGGATGACCCGGTGGAATCGTTACTGAATCCACATCGATTTTTCGCGAGGACAGGTACTCAGGTGAGTCTCAGGCATTCATTAAACTTCACGGAACGATGAATCTTGCTTCGAGATAATTTGCAACGTTATCGAACTAACGACACGTTCGTTTGCGCTAAGTTGTTCGCTGAATTCACTGATAGCGATAGGATAACGATTGAACAGCTGTTGAAATGTTCTGGAACTGATCAATATGCATGGGATATGTTTTTATAGATAGAGGATAATAAGATTCCTCTGCTGAGGTCATTTCAAGAATTTGTGAATAACATGTTGACTCCGGAAAGTTAATTTACGATTTTTGATAGAAGATCAAATGTTCGTCATTTATTTCGTTTGACAGTAATCGAGAGCGAATCGAGCACGTGTTCGAATTCGAGCGATACTTCATTCCGGAGCTTGTGAATTGTTGCAGAGTTGCCTGCAACTCGGCGGGGTCTCACAAAAGGGAAACCATGGGAACAATCGCGTAATCGTATTATTCGTAATTAACTCGGCGATTTACGACGCTTCGAAGACGCCACCTTAACGATGTGAACCACTTGTTCCGACACTGATTCTAATTCGATGACGCCAACATCACAGCTGATCTTTATGAGCCTCATTTTTTCAACAGCTTGTCAGTTTTACGGTAATCAATTAGCACCATGCAATTCGCGAGTAATTGAGGAGTAAATATTTTATACAGGTTTTGTTATTAAACATAGCGAACCGTTTGCGTAAGAGGAAACTCGTATCGTTCCGATAATAGAACAAACGAGATTTGCACGTTTTTCTTCCTTAAATTCGAGACGGTTTTTTCTTGAGTACGCATACTGATCTCATCGTCATGACTAATCAGTATCTCAACAGATACTCTGCTGATTCCAGAAGGGGATAAATTTAGAATTTCTTTATAATATGTCACTCGATTTCACCTTGATCTCTGATTAGTCATTTCGATCGACTTATCGATATTGATTGCGTGACTCGAGTGCATAACGTTTCGTGCACGCACTCGATTTACCAACAAAATGGAAAATTTGCATTTGAAAACAGAATTACGCAATGTCCATTCTGAGCGTCAACATTACTGCTTTTGTCCAGGTTATTTACATACGAAAAGATTTGCTGTTTTTCAGGAGGATCTATAGATCAATGACATCGCTTAATTGTATAATTAACGTCGAAGTAACGGTTTCAATTAGCCTTTCCTACATTTGTTAAACCGCGTTTAGTTTCAAACGGAGATTTACTCACTGAAACGTTAACGGTTTGATTAATAATCACCGTTGACGAGGAAAAATTCTAGGCACCATCATAAATCTATCAAACAATACGGCAATTAAGCAACCTGGAAAGCGATACGAAAACGCGATTGCTATACGTTTACGACTCTTATCTTAGCACTTCAACAAATTGCAGGCAGATTTTAATGCGTGGTATTTTTAAGGTGCGATAAATAGAATTTTTATTTTCATCGTCATCTTTATTCGTCTGCTCAGGGATTCTCAATCTGATCGGTTATTGAAAACTAATCCTATGCAGAAAATACAAATTTTTATAACAAATTGTACTGCAAGTGGTTACTTTTTTCATTAATACTTTATTTCAGTAATCAATAATTTATTTCATTAGTCATTCACTTCATTAATCATAATTCATATAATCAATAATTTAATAATTCATTGAATTAATAATATTATGTATTTTACTTGTTCATCCAGAAATCCAACTTAAATAATTTTAATACTAAAAAATTTCAAAGTACTGATAAAAAATTTAGTAACTGTTACAAAATTCAAAATTATTAATATAAAAAATTATTCAATAAATCCAACATTGCACTATAAGAATAAAATAACAGTACAACATAATTGATGTAATAAGCATAAAATATAAAAAAGATAATGTTTATCAGTGATTGAAGTCATAGCCTTTTCCTGAAACGCCCTCTAGAGTGAACGGGAACATAGTAGTTCGATTATCAGAAACGACTGGCACCTAATTACAAAGAATTTAATCAATTAATTAAGTAGAGAGGATTGATGAGCGTTGTCTGAAGCGATTCGTCTTAGTCAACGAGCCACGTACTTTCATAAATTGATTCGTCCACGTGAAATTATTCGAAGAACCGTATATAGCTACTGTTAAAACGGCCTCCTCTTTTTCCTGTGAGGCTGTTCGCAGACTGGTCTCTACGAAGGGGCCACTGTAAATCCGAACTCTCCGTAGTGTTACATTCCTAAGATGACTCAGGTGTGCCTCACAGTTCCCCGCGGTTCGTCGCCAAGTCTTTCCGATAGAAGATGGTTCTGCTTGTTAACGAGTCTTCACTGACCCCGTCGTCTCTCAACATTTCGTTGAACTCAGTATTCTAACACCCATAATTCTACAACCAATTTTTCCTTGAAAAACTATTAAAACGGTGCAACTTTTTTAATCTGAAGATTTGGGGTGAATTCGTATCTCGCAAAGCAAAATATCTCGCAATAAAATTTGTCGATTATATGTTCAATTACTTGAACATATGTGAGATGAGTGACTTCAATAACGTGAGGTAAACAGTTATGAGAGGTAATCAAGCAAAAGACTGGTCTAAAATTATATTTAGTATGCAAGATTTTCAGCTGATACTGAAGAAGGAATGTAGAAAGAAGTATACAGATTGTTGATAATTATCTGTTTAATTATGTTAACAATTATTTTTAACTGTATCTTTATCTTCTTATAACAAGATCTGAAGAATATTACATTTTTTTCATTGAGTTCTAAAATTAACTTTAAACTCAAGAAATTACCGAATTCTTTAATCTTGTACATTGACTGATATCTTGAAATGAGATTATGTCAAATGACTCCATTCTTACATATAAAATAACGTGAAAGAATAATGATAAGAAATTCTTCAAGTTTTAACAACTGTACAAGTATCAATTATAAACTGATAAACGGACACCAATATTTGTTAACGATATCAGTAAAATATCGGTAATACGCTAATATTACCAAACACGAAATTATCGAACTATTAATAAAACAGGAAGCAGAGCAGAGCTTTCTAACAAGCTTTCTCAAACGAATTAATAACCGCGCTAATTTAAGTCAAATATACTTACATCACTATTGTTCGAATAGAAAAGTTCGATGCATTTTCCTGGAATAAAATCTGCCGATTTTAATTTCACGCGCCGACGCCTGCGACGATTTCACGCGGAAAAAATGATGGCCGCTGAAAACGATCCGCGATTATTGGAGCGAGCTGGTTTCGGGCATTCGTTACACTCCTGATCGCCGGTCAGCCTCGTCGAAACGAAAGCTTTCGAGTGAAAGTGCCTTTGCTTGTTCTCTCGTAAATTCTTCATAACATCGTAATTCGACGTCGCGATCTTGAACGAATGGATCGTCAGGCTTACATTACTGCGAGGACGAGGAATGTACGGGGGTCATGCACAGGGTGCTTCAGGAATAGTAAATAATCTAGTAAACTACAATATGTACTTCCGGCAGAACATGTGTCTTTCATCTGTGCCTCATTATCAACATACATACAATATGGACCTACAGCTCTACTTTTTACTTTGACTTCTAAATTCTTAAAATTCTATGTTTTCAAATATTTAAATTTCCCTATATTGCTGTCCTCTAAAGTTGTTATAACCACCAATTTTGTAGGATCAGTAATTTCTATGTTATCAAGTTTCTAAGAATCCAAACTGTATCTCCAAATCTTTATGTTCTCAAATACCTAAGTTTCTACATTCTTATATTCTTAAACACCTAAGTCCCTAAATTTCTATGTTCCAGAATCTTTATATTCCCAAATACCTACGTCTCCAAATTTCTGTGATCCAGAATTCCTATGTCCCCAAATTTCTACGATTCCAAAATTCCTCTATCCCCAAATCCTCACATTCTGAAATACCTACGTCCCCAAATTCCTATATTCCCAAATATCTAAGTCCTCAAATTCTAATGTCCCCAAATTTCTATGATCCAGAATTCCTACGTCCCCAAATTTCTAAGGTCCCAAAATTCCTCTATCCCCATATCCTCACATTCTCAAATACCAACGTCCCCAAATTCCTATATTCCCAAATATCTAAGTCCTCAAATTCTTATGTCCCCAAATTTCTATGATCCAGAATTCCTACGTCCCCAAATTTCTAAGGTCCCAAAATTCCTCTGTCCCCAAATCTTCACATTCTCAAATACCTACGTCCCCAAATTCCTATATTCCCAAATACCTAATTTCCCAAATTCCTACGTCTCCAAATTCCTAAGGTCATAAATTCCCACATTACCAAAGTACTACTCCCCCAACTTCATCTCTAAACTCTTACATGTCCAACAACTTACGTTCCCAAATACCCAAGTCCCCAAATACTTAAACCCTCAAATACCTTCCTAAATAAATTCTCAAATTCCTCTGACTCGAAAACTCCGAAATTTCAAAAGTCGTGATTACTTCCACAAAAAAACCACCCTGTATATTTAATTTCGGGATTGACCCAGCAGCATACGCACGCTACTTTCAGACTTTCTCGTCCAATTACGCAACCCCGGTGGACGACCGGTTCACGAAATTCATGCATGATAATAATCCAACGATACTGTTGACCGTAGACGGCCTTCCCGGCTATCGTTTCGAGGCTGTACTGATATCTGTCAGTTGGATTACTATCCGACTGTAAGAACGGAAAAGGTAGGTTCGTACGAGAGACACAGAGGCGCCGTGACACACGTGGATATGAAGCTGTGTATACGCGTACATACATATGTACTGTGGATTTATTCTACCGTGACGCTAGCCGATTGACACTCAAGATACAAAACTGGTCCGTGAATGTGATCGTTTAAACGTTAATATACGCGAAACGATGGAATGCGAGCGTTAACTGTTCTTTTCTGCTGAAAAGAGTTGCACGTAGCGAAAGTCGATTGTAGAGGTTTATGCACAATGTTGAAACGTTTGAATGGACGCTGACAAAATGGAGTCGGGTGATAACAGCTGCTGCAACTGATTTAGAGCTTTCTGAATC